GAACAAATAAAATCAGACGTATTTTTAGGTAGGGTTGGGTTACCGGAACATACCATTTTTTAGGCCTAAACAGGCTGCAAAGTAGAAGTAAAAAACACTGTATGCAAATGTATAGGATGCTAACAGCTTCGGATGCATGCAAACAAATACAAAATCTGACTTTAATTTTTACTGGTGAAACAACTGGAAATGCATACAAGTGATAAATAGAATATCAAAATTAAAGTGACCTATGATATCAGAACACACAATAATTACTACACTTGTTTAATGAAAACGATGTCATGGGTCCCTGATTGGTTATCCTCTACTTGGTATGCATGTTAACTCACATACCATACTAATATATTGTAATGTATGTAATGATTCTAATAATTTGCTATTGGTAGCCATGATAGCTTCAGGAATTGTGCCCTTCATTGAGTGAGTAAGTGAGTGAGTGAGTGAGTCTGATGTTGTCAACATTTTCATGTTTATTGCTCATCAATATTTACATACACTTTGTATTTTTTTTATAATTCATTCCATTTGCAGTTTATATGGATACTACTCTCCATCTGCCTGCAGTGGTGGACCAAGCCAAAGTCAATATTTTGAAGAAAGTTGAAGAGCTTTATGAAAGGGAGGAGAGACAGATTATTGAAAGAAATGATCCTGATATGTATGACCAGTGGCAAAAAGCTTTATCACGTTACAACACATTAGTTACAGAGATAGGTCAGGGCTCACTGAGATTCACTCTTCAGTTTGAATCTTATTTGGATGTTCAGCATTTCCAACGGCAATGTGAATGCGGTGAAGTAGGAGGAATATTAGCTGATATTCTTATAACACCCGAGATCAGAGAACTACTTCAAACAGCTGGTGTAACTGTTGGCCCGGAACTTATTAGAGTTGAATTGAAAGGTAATATACATTTACTAACAATAATATGCATCTGGAAAAATCTGTGAATGATCATATTGAATGTATTGACTGGAAGTACATGTTTGTCCATCATGCTTCTCATCAATCTAATTATACTGAAAGTAACTTTAATTTTGTGAAAGTCAAAACACTCTGTGATTCAGAAAAATAGCAACCGGGGTATAGCACGAAAAAGATTTTTTGAGAGTTCAATGACTTGTTTGAAATTTATTCATAAAATCACAAATTTGGCACCAATTTAATGGATTACAGTTTATAACATACATGTATATGTATTTCCCTCATAGATGAAGAAAATACAGCCTTGAGGAAACCTCTACCACTGAGAAGAACTGGTCACTATATCACTCAACCAAGTATGCATAATTAATTAATCCTCGTTTGGAGGCGGTCTGAAAACAGAGACGTATAGACTGACCTTTGTGTGTTCATCGGTTAGTTTGTCCATCCATCCATCCATCTGTCCGTCCGTCTGTCTATCTGTCTATCTATCTGGACATATATCTTGGTCATGTCTCTACCAATCACATTGATATACACACATTGTGCATTATCTTGAGATAAATATGCACGCCATTGCGTGGACTAAAGATGGCTGAATGGCATTTTTTTTTATTCTGAAACTAGATCTTGGTCATGCGTAGATAGATTTTGTACATACATACATCTAACACAATGGCAGTGTTCTCCCCTAAGCGCTAAGTACTGTTGAAATTTTAAATGACGAATTTATATTTATGATTTTTTTTCAAAATTACTGATATGAATTACAGTGTATATATAATTGTAACAATATCAACTACTGCTAATATATTTTTGGTTATATGCATTGGCATATTAATTAAATAATGTGTTTCACTGTATAAAGTAAATCTTATTTATTTAAAAATATATAAGTACATTATGTTAATTAGTATGCAAATTAATATGCAAATTAGCCACAACCCTGAGACAATTTTCTGGGGGGGAGAACGCTAATATCAAATGAAAAATCATTATTTCTAGGTACTTACTCAGTATAGTAAACGTGTTGGTCAATTCATGGCTGGATCAAATCAGTATAGGTAGATGTGTTGGTTAATTGATGGCTGGGTTTAGTGGGTTGGTTTCAACGTGTTCCCTTTTTGTGTGCATTGCTTTACAAGAAAAAAAAATCGGGTGACGCAAATTTGGCTGCATTGTTGGATGTTTTTGTGTCAGCTTTAACTGTAATTCGTCCCTCTCATGCATGAGTTGTTCATTTTTACCAATGTGTTTTTAGAGTGGATAAGCAGAAAGGGTATTGTTTGGGAAGCAGGAGGAGCATAGGCTGGTGGTATTGGGTCTCCGCCAAGACCTAGCCAACAGGTAGCATGGGGTTTGTGGCCGAACGCCTAGTCAGCATTCCCTCTTTGTCCCTCTAAGAACTGATGCGGATCATCGGAATGATTCGCAGGGTAGTTCCCCAGACCGCATTATGCAGCTGACTGGTACAGCTCACTTTGTTGCAGCACTGGCAACTGGAGAGGCGAGTAACACTCTCAGACCAAGCGAGGGATGTCTTGCCCTGGTGGTCGGCAATTGCCAACCTCAGGCAGGGGTCCCCTTGGACCCACTCGCCACGGCTATGACTCTGATAATGGATGCCTCCCTCACAGGTTGAGGTGCACACGAACAAGCCCAATGAATATGGCCCGTGCATTGGGTTCAGGACCGCCATATCAACTGGCTCAAACTGAAAGAAGTGTACTTAGCACTGATACACTTTCTACCCATAGTTTGAGACCACATAGTCTTGCTTTGCACAGACAACACAGAGGTGGTCTCCTATAGCAACAAGGAGGGGACCAGATCCCCATCATTGTTGGTCCTAGCAGAGCAAATTCTTATTTGGTACCTGGAATACAATGTGGAGCTAACTGCACACCACCTTCCAGGGGTAAAGAATAGTCATGCATACGCCCTCTCGCGCCGCCTCCGTCTCCAGATTACAGAGTGGCAGATACCCAAGGGGTAGCCTCCAGGCTGTTTTGGCGGCGGGACGGCCCAAAGTTCGACCTATTCACCACGCTCCGGAATGCCAAGCTCCAGACGTATGTGACACTCCTGTCGACTCCAGGAGCTTTGTCGATCCTGTGGGCCCACATGGACGTCTTCACCTTTCCTCCCTTCCCTCTATTCACCGGGTACTGGAGAAACGTCAACAGGAGCGACCTGCATTTTGACGCGGATGGTGCCCAATGGGCCAAGCAAGGCCTGGTTTCCACTACTGTTGGAAATATTAGCCGAAACACCAGTGGTCCTTCCAGACTTACCGGATCTGCTGTCCCAACCGGATGGCACACTGCCCTTGAGCCCAGCGGTGTACTACTTACACGCATCAAGGCTCTTAGTTTACTCTCTCAGGTTTTTTAGTCCCTGTCTCAGGTGCAGCCTGAAAGGCGGACTATTAATTTTTATTTCAATTTACCGTCTGTGGCATCTCTAACATTTTCTCAGAAATTCTGCAGCAGATATCGATGAAACTTGGCAGGTTCATGAACAAGTCTCTGCCGAATATCCACGTTTAATTTTTTTTCCAGATCTGAAAATCCTAAGTCGGGCTTTTTCATAATTTTCATCCAAAACTACCTCTCCCAACACCGCTCAGTATGCTCAGCATAAATAATTAGCTTAGATTGTAATGCTAGGGTTTTTAGTGATGTCATGACCTGTTCATTACCTTGATCTGAATCAGAGACAGATGAGTCGTACCATTATCAATCTCAGTGGAAAATGTAGAGAGGTGTTAGGGCTACATTTTGATGGGAATTATAGTGGTGATGCTGAAAAACCCAGGTCTTGGTAATATACAAAGACCTGAATTAATAAAGAAGTCAAGTTTTTATTAAAGATACATCAAGGTTTACTCAGATTTATGTATGCAGTTTCTTGAGCATGTATGAGACATAGTTTGGTGGCATTTGTGTACTCTGAGATTTTGGACCCGGGTCAATGAAAGTTTTCAGTTATCAGATTGAGGGAAATCACTTTATGATGAGTTGTACCCACCTAGAGTACATATTAATTCAATTGTTTGCAGATGTTCCATGTATTATTTTAACATGAGTATTTTATAATTAAATAACGGGGACTGTGACATTCATGTCTTGTTTAGTTTTTTTCTGAGCGGGCTGCCAACGTCTAGGTCAGGGCGAACAGGGATCCCACCAACAAAGCCTACGACTCGAAATGGTGAGCATACACTGATTGGTGTAGTGGAAGGGAGATTGATCCACGCCATCCCTCTGTTGGCCAGGTAGCTGAAATGGGCTTGTCCTATTCAGCGATCATTTGCTATTGGTCAGCCTTTTCACCCACCATTGAGAATTCTCTGGGAACGAGGCTAGCTGGTTGTCCTACTATTAGAAGACTGTTTACTACTTAATCAGAGGCCTAGACCCCGAACGAGGGAACTACCCAATTTGGACTTTTCGGTTGTGTTGTCCACTCTAAGCAGACCGTCCTTTGAGTCTCTCCGATCAGCACCACTAAAATATTTGACATGGAAAACAGTCTTCCTACTATCCCTCACCTCAGGTAGGCGTCGGGCTGAATTAGGGGCCCTGTACTTTTCAGACGGGTGTGTCGACTTTATGGACAATAAAGTTGTTCAAAAGACACAAATCAGGTTCTTCGCCACGAACAAATCTCAGGATACGATCCACAACTGATCGTCAACCCCCGGCTGGCAACATTGTCAACTCGGAGGATCGGAAGGAGTTGCTTCTGTGCCCAGTTCAAGCTCCGAGTTGCTACAAGAAAGTCGAGGCATGGCAGCAAGCATATGTTTATGTGTTATGGCCAGGCCAGCCCTTTCCGACTTTCATTGCCAGGTGGATCACTGCGACCGTGTTTGAGGTTTATAATTGTTTGGCTTCCTCGACTCAGGGTTTACAGAGACACCATGTATGAGTGCATGAAGTCTGTGCGATTGCTCTTGCTTCAGGTGCCCCCCTCGAACATGTGCTGAGTGCAGGCTTCTGGAGAACGCAAAATGTATTTACAACTATAACCTAAGAGATACCCAATCCATTGAGGAGGGTCTTTTTAGGGAGGGTACCGTCATAGCGGGTCAGGCTTTGGTTACGACCCAGCCCGGACGACCTCAGGGATCCCTGCACATAGGCAATAGAATGGTCTCAGCAGCACGTTGTTGCAGAGAGATTTCTCCCATCAGCACTCCTTGGAACTTTCCAGGTCTTGCTTTCGACCTATGCCCTCATAAAGAACTGTTTTGGTCTTTTCTTTTGAAAGCTAGTTACCCAAGAATTTGGGTCTAGCGTTCTCGAGCAAACCAAACCTCGTCACAGTGTCAGCATTTTGCTTTTGTTCCGGGGACGGCACTGGCAGGGTAGGACACTGTTTCTTCACTCAACTAGGTGGTCGTAGGTATTATCCCGGACTGGGACACCCTTTTTATTGTTTTTCAGTTCGCTCGGAGACCCGCCACCTATCAGCGTCTGACCCTGCCTACAGTTCAAAATAGTCATTTTGACTGACCAGAGTCTATGGTGAGTAATTGAATGTAGTGAATTTAGGCAGAGGGTTTTCAACCCGCCTATTCACATAGTTCATACCCACCATAGACTCCAGGGCCCCCTCGAACACCCCACTTTTCCTTAGCGTTGGCTTAGTTTTTGATGCAGAGAAAAGGAACCAGATTTTGTGTGAATTGGCCTACTTCCCTGGCAAAGGCTTGTTGGGGTATCCTCGAAACATTGTTATGTGATAAGTACACAGTCGGTCATTATTGTTGACGTCGTCAGTGCTTTGTGTTTACTTACAACTTAGTCATTCATTTCAGAATTCAAGCTTTTTCACATTTTTTCATCAGAATGTCTGTAGCTGGCGAGTATTTTTTTAATTTATGTATTTTACCACCAGCGACACATCGCAACAGAGTTTCATTCTTTTAACCCAGAAATGTTTCATGTTTGACTTTTGGGGTGATCAAAATGAAGTCTATATAATTTACCATTCTTCTCGGCATAACAAACATTTTGCTTGATCGAAACACATTATTAAAAATTGGTGGGCTGATTTGTTATCTGTCACAATGCATTTTGTTATTGTTAAATTGGGCTATTTTGAGCTTCTTTTCGATCGAATAAAGTCATTAGTTTTTGTATAGTTGACATTAATTGTTATGATCCTCCAAGAATCAGAAATATCACAGGTTTTTCAATCGACCACGTTAACATGAACGACGCCATTTTGACAAGATTTGTTTAGCGATATCAGCATGTTGGTACGCGCAGTTTTTTCCATATTAACGCTTGAAGATGAACATAATTCTCGATCTTTACATGGTAGGAACTGGATGTTTGTGAGTTGGTAGGCTGGTTTTATACGTATCGGGGTTCAATAACGCAAAATTTCATAGTGCTATTTTGTTTATGTTGTCATTGCCTGTAAAATTGAGGTCAAAGTGAAGTAAACGGTTTGTTGACCCACAACACAATTTGAAAAAAAAGAATGCTAGTCGTTTTCCGGGATGGGATGACCTCTTCTAGGAATGATGAAAAAAATCTTGATTGGGAAACAATATAACTGAATGAAATCTAGATGAATGAAATAATAACGAAAATAGAGTTTATGAAGCATTGTAAATTCTGAATGAATAAAACAAAGAAAAGAAATAATACTTAACATAGTGCCATGGGCAAAATAAAACTGATTGACTGAACGGTGTAGGCCAAGGAAAATCCTTGATTGTCAAAGGTCAAAGGTGACTGAAATGAATCCATGTAGTTCGATGCATTTAAAAAAATAGATTGACAATTTCCACTTTTGTGAGGATTGAATTGTTCAAGATTATATCTTTAAATTTTTCAATTAATTGTATATCTTAATATCAGAGGAAATTGGAATTTGGGTGAAGCTGGATAGATGCGTACAGGACCAGGCAACAGTGGATGTGAGTGACCAACAGGCTCATGCTGTATCCAGTACGATCTTTAGTAAGATCACTACAAGTGTGGATATCCCATCAGTGATGACACATCTAGATGCGATTGGACCATTCATAGTAACACATTTTGATCCAATGCTTCTAAGGTTGGTCATTGAGTGTCCAGAGAGAGATTCAGCTGACAAATTGTGGAATTCATACCAGTGTGGTAAGTTGAACGAGTTATTCCAGAAAGATATCGTGACTAATGATGTACTGAAAGAATGTGGCATATCAGAAATTATCCTCAAGACTACGATAGAGTCATGGAATTATGAGAAATGTGTGTTGTACTTCAAATATGATGAAACAAATGGTGAGTCTTTAAGGCTTTAATTGTGTTGTATTCATCACCTTTCTGTATATTATCACCAACTATTCAAATTATTTATCCATCTGCCATCCATTCATGAATCCATTGCTCATAGGTGCATACATGCTCCCATCTGACAACACTATTATGACACACCTAATTTTAATCTATTATATCCTACCGGTTCATACATTCGTTATGACACAAGAAAATGTTTGTATCTACAAATTGCAACCATGTGGTCACAGAGAATATGTGAAAAGCTTTCATTTGGTTAATAAACTGGCTTCGCAAACTGCAAATTTTAGTCCAAAAAA